AAAACTTCTTTTACATTTATTAGTTATAGCATTTAATTATAATGATGGAAAAATTTTATACCTATTCTTATAAATTCAATAAAATTTTGAAAAATATATTATGTTTACATTATTAAAATTGATTAATGTTATTTTTTAAAAATAAACTTAAAAAGTTTGATTTTTTTGCAAATATTTAATTGGTAAGGATAAATAATAATAATTGTTTTCCTTGATCTAAGCATCTACCTTATTTCATACCTGACAGATTCCTATACCAGGAATGTTGACGAAATTAATTCACGGAAATAAACCCAACTCATGCATAATGCCCTGAAGCTGGTTCCATTAGCATAATGATAAGGTAAATCAGAGTCCTTGTGAAGCTGGACTAAAATAGTTTTCGTTGTATTATGGATTTAGCATTTCCCCTCCATAAACTCAAACAATTTATTTTATTATTTTTTTTTATTTGTTCTTTTAATTTCCTTTAAAATAAAATTAGCTTTTGCACTGGCTATTAACTACTAATACAATAATTATGTGGTAAATAATGGTTAAAATAATTTACTCTCTTTTCATCAAATTTAACAGAAATATCCAGAAAAAATTGTTTTTGAACATGACAAAAAATAATTACTTTCATGAATCAGTTATACATTATAACACTTTCTTCAAGAATATTGAACTAGTTTTTAAGACAATGGTGGCAATTTACCCAAAACTTTTTAAAAGGTAGAATTGTAAGGTTTGAAAAAAAATACTCACTAAAGAAGAAACTAATGTATATTTCTCAGATTTTCAAATCAAAAACCAACACTTATTAATTTCCAACATTCAAATTCTTCGCTCTGTACAAGTTTTACTTTTCAGAAAACTTTCAGTGTTCATGTTATTTTTTTTGTAAATAAAATAAAAATTTATTTTGCTCAACACCTCTAAATTAATTATATTTTTTTCTGTTTATAGCGAAAGAGTGTTGTAAATATATATATATATATATATATATATATATATATATATATGGAAGAAATTTATAAAATTTATGAAAAACTAAAAGTAGAAAATAAAGAACATAATAAGAAATAACGTAATAAAAAAGAAAAACATGAAGATCGAAGCTATAAAAGATACAAAAAGAAATGTAAAAAAACTAGCTAGTCAAAAAGCAATTTTGGACTTAGGACCGAATAAGTGGGGTTAAACTAGTTTGAAGGTGCCAAACTTCCCCCTTTGCAACTCGGTAGAAAAAACAAAAATGAAATAAATAGAAATTGAAAGTATAAAAATTCAAAGTTTAAAAAACCTCACAGAAAGTATGAGAAAACAACCGACTACTATTCAGCAAAAAATTCTCCTAAACTGTTTAAGCAGAAAATTGCTAAGAGATTCTTCAAAAAAGATTTTTCGAAAGTTCTGCTCACAGAGCTTTTACTAAGAGATCCAACAGTCTTGAAACCAATGGAAATCTATTATTCATTGTGTTAAAAATCCAAATTATACATAACCGCATCCTTTAAACCAACATCTAAAGATAGACGTCAAGAGAGATGACAACCAAATTTTTTAGGCTATAATTTGGTTGGTTGTCAAAAATGTAAGAATTTTTCAATGTGCAAGATGTTCAAATGGGTTTGGAGAAAATGTAAACTTTGAGAACAGTGTTATTACATAATCTTCACAGCAAGACCACTAATATGCTGACTTTGGGATCCTATTGTTGCGTGATGGTTTTGGAATCAGAAGTAGCAAGACAATTAATGTATTTATAATGAATATAAGCTTTTAGGAAGTTAAAAGGATAGTCATGATCTAAACAGCATAGGAAAAAATTTTTGATATAATTAAATTTATCTATTTTGTGGGTAGTTAAGATATCATTTCTAAATAAAGAATTCAAAATATTATTTATGTAAATTGAGAGATGCAAATTACTGTTTCATACAGGAATTTTAATTACATGGAAACTAAAAGAATATCTTTTGTCAAAAATGTTACAGACTACTTTATTGTTAATAAGATGTAAGTCTAAATCCAAGAATTCAACCATATTAGAGTTAAAATTAGTTTTAAGGACGTTGAGATAGTCAGGGTAAAACATAATATTTGGTTTGAACTCACTATTTTTCCAAAAACTATTATATCATCTATTTTACGATAACGCAAGTAAGATTCATTAACAATATGATCAATTTTTAAAAAAATGTTAATACAGGTTAGCTAAACAATTACTAGCAGGACCCCCTGAGGCAGTCTTCTGATCTGTTTATAAAGGTTCTGATCAAATGCAATGAAATTTTCTTGAAAAACAAGATTAACAAGAGTATTAAATTTCTCCTTTTTCATTGAATTATATAAATCATATTTATCATAAATTAAATGTAGAACCCTAAATATATAATCCATATCAATATAATTAGAAAGGTCCTCGAAGTCAAAGCCGTACATGGAAAAAATAATCATATCTTTCGTGACTCTGAAATCTGTAAACTATTTTTAATTATTGCTGTGTGCTGAAAGTTATCAATAGCATATTGAAGAAGGCATTGTAAAATCTTCCCAGACTTCGCTATATATGTATTATACCCATTAGTAATACTACGGAATTTTATAGGACTTTTAAGAAATGTTGGTGTTAAAAAAATGCGTGGGTATTTAATATTTTTGAGATGAATATTCAGTCTTTTGTTCAAAGCCAAAAGACGATTATCATCTTCTCTACTGCTGTAAATCGGATTTGAATACACACACATATATATATATATATATATATATATATATGTGTGTGTTTGTTTGTTTGTGCGTGTGTACCAGTTACCTCAGCAGTGATCGTTAACTAGAACCACCAATATTCTCTATAACTGTGATTCCGTCAAACGTATAACGTAAACGATGCCGAGGGAAAACGGACGTTTTCCACAGATAGTTCGCTAACTGATGTTAAAGAAAGCCACCACCCTCCTTTTTATTCATTATATTCTAGTATTTGTGTTATGCTCCCCCCCCCCTCAACCATTTTAAACTGATTAAATGTGTTTCTATGTGAACTATGCCTTTAACTACTTTCCCCACCCGAGATGAGGTGTGAACCCTCAGCTCACACTCACACATATATATAAACGCTGGCCCACAAGGGGTGTCCTCGGGTCCAGATCCCCCCAAAACCCTTGATTTTTTTTCGATTGATTATATTACTATGTATACATTACGTAAATTTTAATTAAATATTTGTTATTAATGATTAATTTTATAAATTAATGCTAATTACTTATTTAATAACTAAATTTTTACTATTTTTTTTGTTCCCGAAAATAAAAAAAAATAAAAAGAATATGTTGGGCGTCATATTAAATCATGTTACGAGAATGAAAGGCTTCCGACTCTTGAAAAATTCCTGTGAGCGCCACTGACTCTGCCACAGAAAATACATGCACCCAGAACGAAACGAGCTACTATCACGAAACTTGACGTGTTTGTAGTGTATGAAGTGGTAAGCAAATGATTATAAATTCAGAAGAACAGGTTGCTTTATTAAAAACATATGGCTTGAAAAATTTACAAATCAGTAAGTCATAAATCCACTGTTGTTAGCCATACAATTCAAAACACGGAGGGGCATCGAATCAAAGAGTCACCTCTAACCTCCTGCGGATGATCCTGCCATAATTCCGCATAATTTCTGAGAATTTGATTTATGAATGAATAAATAGTAACAAACAAAAACAATTGTTCAATATCATATATAGAAAGGGAAATGGAAAATCTCGTTTTCTATTTTATCACTTAATATTGTGATTCTGTTACATGTATATAATATTTATGTATTAATTATAATTATTTAATAAAACTTAAATAAAATAAGATTTTTCTTTATTGACTTAAGTATGAATTGACTTTAATTTATTTTATGCTACTTATTTTTTTAAATGAATTGTCTCAAGATAAATCATCATATGAGACATGAGCAATGAAACAAAAGAATGTATTGATATTTAGAACAATCTGTACGAAAACTGTATAGGTATTTTGCCTTTAACAAATCATTTTAACTAAAAATAATGGGCTAAAAAGAGTGCATTTATATTGTTAATATATTTATTTTATATTATTAAAACTCATTTTTTAAAGAAATTATATTGATTTTACACGACGCTATTTTCCCGAACTGAACATTTCTGTTAAATTACTAGCACTCAATGAGAAATTGAAATTCACCTAGCTAATAATATCCATTTCAACAATCGAGAAGGCTATTTAAAGCAATTAAGCGCATAATAACACTTACCTTTCGAATTGTGCAGATCTTAATAATAATAACGCATTAGCATGGATGTCGTCAAGCCATGAATTGAGTACGATTAATTAAATGGTGACAATATCATAGTAGCCAGCTGTTAAATCTTCACTCAGTTGTTACATCATAATAATAATATTATATGCATTATCGTATAAGGAACTCGTACTCGAAGAGACACGTACTTGTTTAAGATTTGGATAGTTTGAAATGTGAATTTATAGTTAAGTATCATACAGCTGATGAACATAAAATATGTTGTCAATCCAAGAGTGGAGAAAATCATGACGTAAGTTTAGAAGCTCAGTAATCAGTATGTGTATTTTCTCAGTTTATCTGAATTATTTTATGTTATAATTGCGTAAAGCAGACTTTTTTCACAAATCTGTAAAAATTGAGGATCGGAAAAATAGTGAAAACTAAATAAAATTCAATAACAAGTTTATTTATTACTATTTAATCTATGAATCACCTTTAAAAATCAAAAACAACTGATGCTACAGTGGATAACCTTTTCACTAATTTTATTAGGGTTTCTTTTTGTATTGAATATATATACAGTTTATAACTATTTAGTAATAAATTGAGTATTTATGACTTTAGCTACATACTTCTTATTCCTACAATCAACAGTAAAAAATATAATTTCATTATTATTAATGCTGGTGTCATAAACTTATAAAAAGAGGTTTTAAGTAATTAAAACATTTTTACTAAAGTGAAGAGCCACCCCCAGGTGGTCTCGAACCACCAACCTTTCGGTTAACTGCCGAACACCCTACTGTGCCACGGAGGCTGGGTGGCTGGGAATGAAAAGTGAAAGAAATCATTATTCAATAGATTATCAACTCATAAAACGATAAATATGATTTTGTGGCTTCTGCCGATATTAAAGTGGAAGCCTATATGTTTTCAAGGTTTCATTTCATTTGACTGTCACAATTTTCGAAAATAGTGAGTGGATTCAGCTTTTTTATCTTATTACAGTAGACCGTCGTTTATCCGAATCAAAAAGGACCGGACACCGTTCGAATACGCAATTGTTCAGATAACCGAAAACCGAATGCGATTCATGCAGTATATGAAATCGGACATATACGAATATTGAAAATCATCCTATGCGGGAAACGTGCTTGAAGAAAAAGCAAAATAGGTGCAAAATGTTGCAATTTTACATTTATTGTGGCAAATAATCACTTATATTTCAATGAAACATTGTACACCTTCATTTTTTCGCCGCAAGGTCTCTTAATCTCTTGAGCAGCAGTAGTTGAGCAAGACAGGACTCTGATTGTTGTTCGTACCACTCCATAGCTGTCTATAACGCAGAAAAATGGTTTAAAATGGTTTCTCTGCTTTTTTTATGTCAGAAATTGTTGACTTTCTAACAATATCAAACTGTGCTATAGACGCTCCACTTTCTCCCTTCGCGAGAAGGTTCAATATTTCAAGTTTTGTCTCTATGTTCAAGACGCTTTGCTTCCGTTTTGAATTCCAAGCCATGGTAGTTCACAACTCAACACAATAGCACGTATACACCCCTCACTTGAAAACAAACTGACCTAATATTCCGAGCAGATGTTTACCAAATCACACAACTGAAATTCCCCCAAATATCCCTCCCTTGGGTTTTCCCATCTCTTTTGGCCTCACGTGAAACAACTATTGAGCATTGCACTGTTTGAAAACGTATCCAGACTTTGGTTCGGATATTTGACTCTCCGGATAATAAACGTTCGAATAACCGACGCTCTACTGTATTGTCTTTTGTTTGCTGTATACAGCTGACATAGTGATGGAAAAAAGTAAATTCTAAATGGGACATTGTAGGGAGAAAAGATATATGAAACATGAAAAGACGTGTAATATATGATAAGATGAAACAAACAATAGGACAAATAAAGCTAAAACTGAATTTACGCGATCCAATTATGTTAAGCAATAATTATATACTTGCAAATGTGTGTTTTGCCATTGAATTCAGTAGATGTGAGGCTGTGCTATTCTGGGAACGCTGAAAATAAACTGTTGGGAAAGATAGATCAAGTTTCTTATTTTATGTGCTATCAATGAACTGGTATGTATTTCAACAAGCTGTAAAAGTTCCCAAAAGATGAACTGACTTGTTTTGAAAAGGCTTGACAGAAGTATCTTTTGTAAAAAATGTTACACATTGCTTGATTTACAAATCGTGGTAACGGTAAATAACCATTTAAAATGCTCATGGACAAATTATGACTAATAGACCGAAAGAGGCCATAGTTGTGTGACATAACAGGACCTTGTATATCAAAAACGGGAACAATGATTTCTAGGGAAAACTATTGTCACAAGACAATAGTTTAGAAAAGGAATATCAGAATAGAAATTATATATATATATATGGCAAATTCAGGTGAAGGTTAGCTGACCGAAAAACTTTGTTTAAACCTGCAGTCCTGGTATCTAAGGCCAGGTGTTTGCTTTACTAGGAGTGGCTAAGATTTTATTCTGTCATGACTATAGTTATCTTAGGTGTATAGTTATAAAATATATATATATGTATATACAGTTATGCATATATTATACAGATATGCATACATATATATATGCAAAAAACAATTATTTCTATCGAAGTGTCCATTTATTTAAGATAAAGCATGTGCAATTTTGCATAAATTTTCTGAAAGCTTGTCACTGTATTTCATATAAACTGTGAAATGTATTGTTACTGATCTTTTCATTAATGCTAAGCTTCGAAAAACATGCAGAGACTTAACTTAAGAAACTAAAGTAACATTCGAAACACACTCAGTTCAGTAGGGTGTAGGAACACTACGGATGCTGGAATGCGTAGTAAAATGCTTAGGAATATAATCAATGGAATTATATTCAGGGGGATGTCTGTTCATTCACTCTCAACCATTCGCTGATTTTTATCTTTTAAACGTAATGATGGCAGGGCAAGTAGTGAGAGTTCAACCACGTCCATACTTGTTATAGAGTAAGGCAGAGTGTTGCCCAGGGATGGAGTTGCACATTTTTCAGAGCATATTAGTTCATGGCTGCAGTAAGGGTTCGACTTGTATTCCACAGGAAAAATTCTTTGGGCATCTCCGAAAGGAGAGAAGGTTAATTGCTCCAACACATTATCCAAGAATGAAATAACGTCATAATGACCTGGGTATAAATAAGGGGACATGATGGAGCCCCCCTCCCGTGTTGCCCCTCCCCCCCCAATCTTCTCGGAGTGGATCGTACTATATATGCGAAATAATTGGACTGGCCACCACGTTGGAGCAATACACATACATGGCGATTTTCCTTGGATAAAGAGATGAGTAAATCATCTGAGAACACGACTCTGCTATTTCGTTTTTTACATCTTTCTTGCCCGATACCATTGTAACGGAGTCATATACGCTTTTGGGTCAGTGACAGACTTCTTAACGGACATCATGAGTGCAGGCAAGACGTACTCTGTTGATAAATAATGATTATGATCGATACAAGACAAAACGATTGTTCTATAAATATTGCAAAAGGGTTTTACAAAAGACTTGCAAAGTTGCCACAGCTTGTCGGTAGATGCGTCCACGCGTTACCACACCGACACCCATCAAACTCTGCAAATTCTCTTGTTTTTACCATCTTTGCCACAGTCAATGCGTCATGTGCACGTGTTTTGGTCAGTGTTCAAAGACAAATGTCACAATAAGATATCACGGAATTTTAAGGAGTCTTGTACCATTGTCAAGTCTTGCTTATTGATCTAATCAACACATGGTGCTAAAAATCAGGAAAATAACATAAATCATTTGTGTGAAGTAATCTAGCATATCTTCACCAAAGTTTTGACAATCTTGGAACTATAATGATATAATTTATTGAAAATTAGAGCCTGCTAATAAGTTCTTTTTTTCTTCTCTTTACCCCCTTCCCTAAAAAATGGACTTAACGGTAAAAAAAATTTTTTTTTTTGAAATTAGTTAAATCCCATTAAAATTGAGCTTCCTTTGAAAGGTTAATAGTGATGCCAATTTTATGTTACTTAATTAAGAAGTCCAATCCTGTGCTCTATTCTTTGGCAATTTGTAACGTTTTTTCCTTGCGTCTTCTAACTATCCTCAAAGGGATAAAACTTTCCTGAAATTGTTTGATTAAGTTTTGAGACCCTCTTTCTGTGAAGCAACCGTTACGTATACTAATGAATCTCTTGCTGTTTAAATTGAAGTTAAAGTATCTCGGGGAGGACGTTGATAGTGAAATCTTAGCTGATAGTTGAAGTTATGTTTGTGAAAGCTATTTTGTGTGTGGAATACCTTATTAATTTTGACGTGTGTTATCCTTATTAACAAGTCTACAAATATTTGGATCCAATGTGTTTGTCTGACTTCACCTAGTGAAGATAAGTAATATTTATTATTATTATTTAGGGCTAGTTTCCTTCCACTTACTGATTGCAATCATATTAGATTTTGAGTTAGCGTAAAGTCGATTTTACAATATATGTATCTTCCTTGCGTTGACCCACTCTCGAAAGCGCTCACTAACAAATTCTCATATTCACCTGAGGATATTTAATTCATATTTTTAATAATACAATTTCCGTTTCACACACAAAAAATTAATAAATTCCTCAAAATCACGCTAATGAAATACTCAACAACTTAGAACCGTGTTTCCCTTCTATTACACTAGCTGAAATGCCCGTTCTTCGCACGGATTAAGTTTTAAAAACCAAAATTCATCTATTATAGCAATCAAAATATTTTTTTAGGAAGGTTAAAACCCTGTATTAAGTAGTATAACCAAAAATTTAAAATATTTTTTTTCAAATGAATGTTCACATTATAAATAATTTTAAACAAATTACAATTTGGCCTAAAAATAAATAATTTAACAAAAACAAATGTTTCAATGTAAGAGAGAAAATTAGCATGCTAAAGAGTAAATACATATGAATGAATGCAAATATAAATAAAAATTATTAGAAATGTAATAGCAGTAGTAAGTTTCTGCTATGGGAACTATGGGTGAAATAACTTGCAATAGATAAACCGAAAGAAAAAAATTAATGATGATAAAGTGATTCTCACTAAATGCTATCATAAATAAGAAACATTAGGAAACTTTCAACTGAAAAAAAATTAAATTAGTATTATATGAGGTATGGGTGCAATGCTATCTAACATCTCTGTAATACATTTAATATAGAGTATTAAATGTAATTCAGTACTAAAAAAAATTTAATTAGTATGAACTAAAACCAAAAAATCTACCTAAAACAGATATAACAGGTCCCCATTGAAATAGCCGAGAACCAACAACAGTACTAAATGAAACAAATAATAAACCATGTTGCTAAAAAATTAACCATTACAAATGATACAGTTTTCTGGTTTGCAAGATTATCAGAAGTGGGGGGGGGGCAAAGTTAAGTCATGATGAAAAATCTGTCCAAAGGGTGCATCTCATCATAGTTTCAGCGAATAGCCCCCTTTTTGTTAAAAAAAAATTTCTGATTTATTTTCATTTAAAACAAAGATGAGTTCTTATCGATCATAGGGACCATAAGGCAAAAAACAGTGACACTCAAAAAAACATTGTACATTCAGGTTTCTCATAAATAGGAAGCATTATCTTCAATATATTACCAACATGTTAACAGCAATTAATTTGAATTTGGTGTTATTTTCTTTCTGTTATATTTTAAGCAATATTTTTCTACAATGAAGAAAACATTGAATATGCCGGTGAAGGAAGAATAGCAATAATCTTTATTTTCAACGACAGAAAATGGCATGAGAATAAAAG